TTTTTTAAGCATGTGCTTCCGACCTTCCTCAAATGTAATTTTGACACTTGTAGCATCACGTGATTTTGTTCAAGAAAGGGCAGAGAAACTGGGCTGCTGCCATCAATCCAGTCTAGATGGTTAAACAGGACTACAGGACAGAGTGAGGGAAAACGGATATATTTAATTTTGGGGGGAGCTGTTCCTTTAACCCTTTTCACAAACAAACGAGTGGCGTCATGCCGACACCGTGTGTGTGTGTGTGTGTGTGTGGGTGTCATTATACCTTCAAACCGACTGACGCTGTCCCATGCTGGTAGCCTCTGTGTCTTTGAGGGACAGCGAAGGTCACGAAAGCTATAATCAAACCAAGCTCATCAAGCGCAGCGAGCACGCATGCACGCGTGTACGCATCATCGTCTGCGTGCACAACCCAGGACAACAAATAACGTCACCTCCACGACACAGATGTAAACAACTCAAACGTGAACGCGAGGTTCGAGCGCCACCTATTGAAATGTGTCCGGGAAGAGCTGATTAGATAAACTACCCACTGGCGCCATCTGCTGGGGAGTAATCGGTGTACTTTTATTTAATGAGAAGCAGGAAAGCGGCGCACAAAAGTAGCCATCGAAAAAAAACGGTCACGGGAGCCATCATCTGCCTTTGACTGCGACTTTTAAAAACACCAACAGCTAAAAGAAAAGTCCAGAGATAAAGCTCACAGCCGCTAGAAGGCTCCAGTCGTCACACCTCCTAAAAGTGTGGCTGCACATCCGCTGCCCCACAAACACCAGGCGCTGTCCGCGGTGCTGTTCGCCGCACTGCTGAGATTACACCGGCAGTAATTTTAGCACCACGGACAGCGCCTCGGTCGCCATTATTAAGCACACCATTAATTTAGTACCTTTTAACACCATCAGCGCTCTGGGATATGTGCATGTATGTGTGTGTATGCTCGGACGACTAATGCAAAGCTCGATATTCTCGCCTTTAAGGACTAAAAGCGTTCTCTAACTGAAGGTTTAAGTGAAAGGCCGAGAATCAGGCTCTATGGAATGAAAGACTGAGCCGAGATTTACACGTGACATCAAATTATGTGATGTTCAGGGTTTGTCTGACTTAAATAAACGGAAGTTGTTTTTTTTTATTACATCAGAGTTATATACAGCTATATACATTTTGGTTAACAAGTTAGGATGCTGTGAAAAACAATGATTTGCAGATTAATTGAAGCTTACATAAAAAAAGAGAGGCAAAGCATAATTTGAATTTAGCGCCAGATAGACTTTTTTAATGCTGCTGGAGGAACAACACTATTAATCTGGTTAACTGGCATAACATATACCAACATGATCTGTGCCAAGTCTCGTTTAAGACTTACTGAGATAAAATGGAAATCTGGACAGTTTATAAGTCAGCATTTGTAAACCTAGTGCCCGTAACATGTGAAGTCCCCATTATTGGTGAACATTATTTTCAGGTTTGGGACATATATTGTATTATTTCAGCACCAAACCTTTACACATACTCTGGCCGCATGAACCTGTAAGTAAGAGAGGGGTTATCTAGATTCGAGTTCAGTCCTGTGACCCATTAAAAACATTTGGTGCGTTATTCAATGTAAAAAGAAATACAACAAACATGCCCCGAACAACAGATCCTGAACACTTGGGCACTTATTTTTTGGATTGTGTTGCCACTTGTATCAGAAAAGATAAAAGGAAATTGTAGGTGAAATGCTGCCGTCAAAAATGCAAATTGAATTGTTTGTAGTTGTGTGTATAGCCTGGACTCTGCTCACCCTTAAAGCTGCCAGCCTATATTATGGAAATGACCAAGTGGGGTCATTTATGATTCCACTTTATGAGCTATTAATATTTTTTAATGGTTCTATTTGTGTTTGTCAATCTGTTTTCTTCATGTGACAGATATTCTATAATGTGCTAATGGTTCTAATTATAGTTTTCAATCATTTTTATGATTAGTTAGAGCTTGCCTCAAGCCTTCTGCAGCAGTAAATATTGGTATTTGAGGTCTGTTAGCTGTGGTTCACTGCGAACATTAAAATGTCATTATTAGAAATGATGAATTACATTTAAATCAAAGAATATAATGACAAAGAAAACAAACAAACAAAGACTCATAGATGAGCCAGCACAGCTTTTTGTTATCTATGCCACACCAATTTCTGTAAAAGTAAAAATGACAATTTGTAGACGTACATTAAAAATGTAAGTTGTTGTTGTTTTTTTTATTTAAATATCACAATAGCCAGTTATTTATATGGCAATATCCTTATAGCTCGAGTCCTAAATGACACCACTTGGTAACTTGAAGGCTAAGTGATCAAACAGCCATGATGAATGTGCAGTTTTTTCATTTAATATTCAGAGGTTGAAGAGTGTTTTGACTAGAAACTCTTGAGTAATCCCAGCCTCGTTTCTATGAGGATGTTAGTCCTCACGGGCAAACACATTTACATCCACCCATGCGTAAAATAAAGAGCAGTATAAATCACACATCTGCAGAAACATGCAAACACATGCGCACGCTTTCATGATCCTGGTATCCGGTTGGTTTGGATCTTTCAGTCTTTTGGTTACTTTCTGTTTTGTTATTTGCATGTGCCTCTTTTGTGATTGGTCCGTCCTCACTGTTTATACCTGTTTTAAGTGTCCCCACCTGTGTCTGTGTATAGTCTGGTCTTTTCCTCTGTTAGGATTTCTGCTTAGGCTACCTGAGTTAGTTAGCGGCTCACTCCATGTTGCTGTTTTACTTCTGCATGTTTCCTTGTGAGTTTAGTTTAGTTTTACTAATAGTTGTTGCTGTTGGCCAATAAGGGCTCATTCCGCTTCGTCCTCCTGCACTTCATGGTGCACTCTTCACCATTGCTACTCTTGACACACAGGGATTTGTCCTCACTTTTTGCTTTTATTGCACACTTAAATCATTTAGTAAACAGGTCTTCACAGTAACAATGCAAGAGCAGAAAACAGAAGCAAACCACTGTGCAGTGCAGCTTGATAGATCTTCAAAGTATTTATCGGTATTTACAATGAAAATACAAAAAAAGGACTTCGATGTCCCCGTGTCTATCCCTGGCATTTTAACGTCGCTATCCCTGCCAAGTGTTTTCCAAACTTGACATCAGCCACTCAGACTTTTGTTGCTCTGTGAATCCGGTCTGTACTGCCAACCCCAAAACATTCAAGTACTGTATTTCTGTCATTGCACAGGTACTGGGTTAGCCAATACAGAGGACTCTTAGAAGGAAAGAGAAAATTCTACTGGTCCCATGTCAGCAACTTGATTGGTTTTTCCTATCATTTCAAACATAAAAAATATACACAATGGCAACTTAATTAGGATCCAAATTCAAAAGTATCCTCCTATCCAACTGAATGCAACAGGAAGCAAAACCAGGATGGAAAAAACAGGCTTTTGTGATGCTCTGGAAGCTATTTGGACACAAAATCTGTAACAAGTCTGCATCACAGAAACTGTGATGTTACATCAGGTTGCCCTCATGAATGGCTCATTTGATGTAGGTGACCATCATGTCAGTGTGGTGCCGAGTCTTAACATTTGAAGTTTTTTGGTAAATATTGTGCTGTTGTAGTGATGTGCTGTACGTAGTGCAAGCTTAACTTTTGTGGGAGGAAGGGGGTGACAAAAAATACACAAAGCTGAAATAAGGCAATGTGAAGGTACTGTTTGAACTACAGTGTGAAATACTTGCACTTATGTTGTCGAGCTTGTGCCAAGACAAAAACCTTATAAATATAGATTATTGGAAAACTTGATATTCTCCTGGTCGTCGTTTGAGCCAGGAATGACTTAAAACTTGAAAACATTCAATGCAAAACACTGAATTCTGACACATTTTGCAAAAATGAAACGTTTTCATACATCGTCATAACTCATAAAGCTTATTGTCTGACCATATATTCCCTAGTCAGTGTAGGTTCTCATTTGGTTATGTTCTAATATAATAAAACACACAAAGCAAACCGATGCCCTCCATACTCAGGCCAAACAGGACAAAGTCAGAACACAGCAGTGGTTCCTTGATGTCTCATACAACATCTGGTAGAACAAAAATACATCTGTATCTAACAAATACAAAGTGCTGCGTGTGGACAGTCTTTTGTGGTATTTGTAGACAGTTTCTTCCATATAAACACACTTAAAAGCAGTTTCCATATAGGCAATGATGGCAAGTCTTGGAATTCACTGAATTCAGCTTGATATCAGAAGTAGAATTAATTTATTTATTTTTGTGTGTGTGTCTAATCCCATTAGTTGAACAGCCACGGTCCATTGGTGTCAGCTCTTCGCACTCACTACCTGTGGCCAGGGCCCCTGTGGGTGGCTGTGTCCCCAACTAAATCTTCCTCCACAACATTAACATATCCTTCTTTCTCTATGCAGCCAGCCACGACCTGCACCACCAGCCGGAGCCTGCGGTCCATGGCCTGAAGGTGAGGCTGAATTAGAATAGGGGATAGGCGATCACGCAGCAGCGACTCCTCCATCATGGAGCTCAGCTGGTACTCCTCTTTGGCCAGCAGCTGGAGACGCAGGTAAGTTGACTTCCTCATCCTTGAAATGGTGGAAAAGAAAAAGGGTTATTGTCCATCTCTTAAGAAAATAGAAACTTTTTGTGTTTAACACGATGATCATAAAACACATGAATCTAGTAAACCCACCAACTAGTACTTTTTTTCAATTTAATTAAAATGAATTTTATTTATATAGCACAAAATCACAACAGCACTCTCCTCATGGTGCTTAATACTCTAAGGTAAAGACCCTACAGTAATACAGAGAAACCCCAACAATGAGCTGACCCCCTGTGAGCAACAACTTTGGCGACAGTGGGAAGGAAAAACTCCCTTTTAACAGGAAGAAGCCCAAAAACATGCTGTGGAAAAATAAAAGTGAAAAGTTTATTTCATACTAACAAACCTATTTGTTTCAGCGTACCACTAGACCAAATCATATGGTGTGTCCAAAACTGAACTTTTATTCCACGGGGACTGTTGATCTCTGGATTTGACCTTAATACTTGTTTGTTTTTATCCACAATATGACTGTTTGATGGGGCGATCAGCCTCCTTTAGTCCTAAAGCTAAGAGGAGAAGGAACCTATCAAAATAACTGTCATTCACTAACTAACTAAAATCTTACCTGCAGCACTGACTCAGAGGTACCAGGATGGAGAGCTCATCGTGAGAATGCTTTCCAAACCTGCAAGTGTGGGGATAAAGAAAAAAGAATGAATTATCACAAGGATTAAGTTTGTTAGACAAATTTCGAGTTTATTTCCTTATTAATTGTGAAAATGTCCTCTTGAAATGGTTTTTAAAATACTCTATAATGAGAAGAACGATTATGAGGTAAGGTCACAAAGTTCTGCAGCTAGTAGCATAACAATAAAAACAAAACATACTTGATTTAAATCTTATAGGCTTTTCTACTCTACTGGAGCACTCAAAGCAATTTATACAACATGCCTCATTCACACAAGCACTATTTTCTATTCCCAAGTTCTTTCTATCTAACAGTCACACTCTGATGAATCCGCCGGAGAGCAACGGGGGTTCAGTATCTTGCTCAACAATAGTTTGGTATGCAGACCGGTGCCTTCCAATTACTGGATGACCTGCTCTACCTCTGCAGACACCCTAGGTAGTCACAGAGGGTGGAGCTGTATTGCTTCCACTGCTTCCAGTTTTTAGATGACTCCCTTGTGCACTTGTGCTGTATCTCCTTCAGCGTGTATTCTATTCACTGCTCATGATCCAGTGAATCCAGAAAAAAATATTGGAATCCTCCTCTTTAGGCTCCTGACCTGATACACAACTGTCGGGTTTGGAAGCTGTAAACTCGTGTGTTTGGTCACACTTTTTGGGCAAAGTTACATATACCGCAAATGTATCTTAATTACTGATTATAATCTGCTACTAACAGCAAAACAATGATGTTTTCATCCATTTGGTGCCGAAGTAGATCAAACCTAAACTGGTTACCAAGACAGACCCTTTTAAATTAGTTGAATATCTTTACCCTCTTCCATTGTCAAGGTGAATGATGAAGGTGTCGTTTCCAAACTTCTCAAAAGTTTCATAATGATGGCGATCCATGTTACCTGTACAGGGGGAAATGGCACATTAGAAGACTCACAAACACACCTTTTTATCATTTTAATGTTTACTTGGTTTTCCTCTTACCCATTAAGAAGTCAAAGATGGTCATGTCCATGATGTCCAGCAGTCGAGTGCCTCGGTCATACGGGGGTGTTTGCTTCACCTCGTCACAGTAATCTGGATCCACCTCCCACCTGTGAATATGCAGAAAATCACTTAATACTTAATGAGTAATTGCTTTTAATGACTCATATGTTTGGACTGGCTAAAGGCATGACTGTGATCACAAACATATATGAATGTTGTGTCTCAGTATCGTTTTCTTACTCTGCTTTCTTGCGTTTGTGGTAGGAGCGCCTCCAGGGGTTTCTCCAGGTTTTGCGTTTGGCTAGGTTCAGATCTGGGAGGAAGGCTGCGAGTGAGCCTTCAATTTGGTCCGGTTTGCCACACAGAGCGTGCTCGGTGGAACAGTAGTAAGAGCATTCACCATAGAAGCAGACATTATTGGCTGACAAAAGAAAAGGTGAAGGCACGGATTTAGAAATGCTGATTTAGTTCACACGGAGACACAGAGGAGAAAATGATTAATGGCGGCGATGAGGAACCGCTGACCCCGGTACAATCAAAGACAACATGCGAAAACTTTATTCACGCCCTCATGCTGAGAGGATGTAAACAAGCATAAGCATTAGACCACAGGCCGCCACATTGCTTTCACTGTATCCGTGTGTGCTGTTCAGTGAACACAACGGGAGAAATAAATCATTCTACATTTCAAAAGAAAGCCTTTTTGCAGTTTAACAGAACAGTTTAACTGACTTCTTACACTACATCAGATTAATCCATCTTAAACACGTTACACACAATGCATCACAACTTCTGATTTCAGCCACTTAAGTGTGATGTTTTTGGGTTTTTTTTTTACCTTACATGCAGTTTTCTGAAAAGAAGTTACTAAAGAAAGGTTTCTAATCTAAACCATTTACTTTTAAAGTACTTAACATTAACTATAACCAAAATACAGGGGACTGACAAATTAAAGGAAAAAACAGAACCGAAAAACACTTACTTTTGCTGGGTGACCAAACATCTGAAGTACACATGTGTTGGTTCTTTAATTTGCCTCATAAGACCTGAACAAGCTCCAAAAACTTATAATAGGTATTTAAACCTAGACCGTATGAAGTACATGTAGTTTCCTCTTATTTCTTATTTCTGTTTTACACAAAGGTCTCTATGTTTACACTGTAAGTTTCATTATGATAGCTCCTTTCTGGAAGGCATCTGTGAATTGGTGGCTCTTGATCCACTGACAGCATCTCAGTCTTCCTTGTGAAATTTCTTGAATTGACTTTAAAGGCTGCATTCGTTTCTGTTGCTTGTGCACCTTTACAACCACGTACTCCAAACCTAGCTTACTATCTCAGAAAAGTGGTGTAATACTTGTCTTACATGTGATGAACACAGAAAATGTGAAAGTTTATCTTTTTAAATGAAGTCAGAAAAACTGACTTTTTCCAAGATCGTATTATTATTAGATGCTGGAGTGTTTCTATAAAAAACAAACAAATCCCAAAACATCCTAATTCCTGCACTGATGAGGTTTGTGTGTTGTCTTGCAGTGCCACCATGTGGAGAGTTCTGGCTATAGCTTTATATGACTTTATTTTTTTCCACATTTGGCATTTTTATTACTTTAAAGAGGAGACCAGGACACAGTGACTGACACTACCCTAAGCTACAAGTCCATACTCCACTTTGCAAATTATAGTTTACAGTTTAACTGAAGTCTTACTAGATAAGTCAGTGAGTTGGGGTTGCTCTGTGCTGTTTCCAAGTTGGATTTATGATGCAGTCAAGTAGCTGCATCTCTCTGCTAAGCTGAAGAGACCAAAGTCTCTACCTGGTGAGATGAAGAAGGTCCTCCACAGCTTCTTATCACGTGTCAGGTCTCTGATTTCTCTCGTCATGTTCACCAGTCGTCCTGCTACTGGGGGAACTCTCCGGAAGTCAAGAATCCTATAAAGCAAAACAAAAGAAGTGCAGAAAAAGCGAATCATTCAGTATTTAAACACAAATGATGATGCACAGAAGCAGATTTTGCTATAGTGGCAAATTGGAAGACTAGGTCCACATTTTACTGCCTTTAAACCATCGGACAAAATTTACTTTGTACTGAACAGATGATGCTACATAGCAACTTCAGCCTGCAGCTCATTCTCCTGTGGTGCTCCAGGCAGGGCTGAGTACTTCCAGCAAAGCAAGAGAGCTCTGAACGTTGAGCACCTGCTTTGTTTTAACAAACAGCTTTGAACTTCCTCTTTTATCCTGCTTGCACTTTATCTTTGATACACGCACGCCAACAGAGGCTTAAAAGGAAATATTTTCATGTAAGAAGGCGTCATTCTGCAGATTAATACTATGTGCTCGATCAAGTAAAAAGGTGGAAACATTTATAAACTGCTGCCATAAAACACATAAAAAAAAACTATAATTTAATAAAACTCATCCAGTCTGGATTAACTTGTGTGCATAAACGTGTGACTCTTTCTCTTTCTCCATGGCAAACTGCTGAAGGCTCACTCACACGTATTGTTTGCTTACGTAGGTACGTCTCGTAGAAGCAGACTCATATATATTAATATATAAAAATAAGAAACACTTCATGACAGTTGTTTTTAAACACAACTGAGATGGGTGGTTAAAATGTGTTATACATGCTATAAAAACCATTGTAAAAAAAGTTCAGCTAGAAAGTTGTTACTAGATGTAACTCTGGTTCTAAGAATATACACAAGGTCCCTAATGGGCCTGTGGTTGTGTGGGGCTGACAAGAGGGTTGTGAGAGACACTCCATGGCTCTGCCCCTTCACACAAGTCCATTTGTGAATGAATAAAGACTGGCAAAGTGAGACATCAGGAGTTTTTCTGTATTTTGATATTATATTTAGTGACTTCCAGTTAAATTTTACACTACATGACATCATTTTTATGACTTCAGCATTCAAGATGTAGCAATAAATTAATCATCTTTACTGGACAATCTGTTTCCCTCTGTGAATGGCACCAAAACAAAATCAATTTATTTGAACCTGTTGACACCTTTTTTTGTCTTTATTTAACTTCCAATACAAGATTTACACAGACCATTCACATGATCACGTTCGTTTCTCACCACCAGTATTCAGATCAGGGTAGTTCTATGTTCCTTGGCCCAATTCTTCCTTTCTGTCTCCGCCTTTCAATCTCTTCTTTTCTTATATTATGTCACATAAGGCACCTATTCAACCCCTGTTTAGCCTCTCCCATTATATGTTTGCCGTCTAATAGATCTTGATCTATTTGAAACTAAAGCTAAGCCTCCTGGGAGCAGACAGACACACACAGACAGGCTCAGTGGAACAGAGTTGGCGAAACTTAAGCCCACAGAGGAGAGCATTCAGGAGCGACAAAATGCACCGTCATTTTGGGCCGTGACGACAAAAGAGCACCTGTTCTTCTACATGCATGTGTGTGCCAGTGTGTAGTCTCTGTGAGAGCACACTCAGGCTTTTATTCGTGTACACTCCACCTTTTACACGCCCTTGAGTCATGCATTGTTCAAAACAGATGGCATGACAGTAGGCAAAGAACAAGCGGGTTTGAAAGTAATCACTGGAAAGCGGTTACTTTTCCTAGTATCATCAAGACAGGGTGGTACAATTTGTAAGAAGTGTCTAGTTTTAGCAGGGCCAAACAACCTCCTACTCTGCATCAATATGAAGTAATATAACAGTAGTAGCTCAGTCTGGTATCCAGAGGCTGCAGTGGTCGGGCAGCTGCACTATAACTCACAGGCACCCCCACATGGTGAATGTGACCTAAAAACAAACAGCTCTTTAGGGGTAACACAGGCACCACCTCCCTGCAGCAAATAACCATGTTCTGGGTGTAATGGCATGTTTGAGATTTTCCTATTTGGCTCTATCTGCCTACCCACATGAACATGTGTTGGCGATCTCATCTAAAAGAGAGCGAGATTGCGTGTTTGTGAGCATGTGTCAGATAATTACCGCACCCTCAAGAAATCCTAAGATGCCCAGTAGTCCATTTATCATCCTGTCTCAGAATCCCAAATGATCAAATCTGAGTGCTCTTCTGTTGATATATTTTTCTACCTTGTCAGCTTAAGTCCTCAGAGCCAAGGGATCATGCTGAAATCAATATACTCAGCACCAACTAGAGGAGATGATCCCTGCTTTTGGCGTGTTATCTAATCCCTCGTGTACTTAATCCCTTTCAGATTTTCACAGTTTAAGTCCATTATGGCACACCTCCGGTTTATAATGGGGTAAAAGTCGCGGTCGGTGTGACCTGTCATTCTTTCTGGAACAGACTGTGAGGGATGATTAGAAAATGGGCGAAGTAGGGAAGCACATGGGTCACATTCTGGCACCACATGTATGTTTCCTTTTCTTTTTTTATAGTTGAGTGGTAAAAGATGGAAAACTCACCGATCCAAATGAAAAGCAGCGATCTCAGCATTGTGCCTCTCGAAGTCGGAGAAATAGAAGAAATCTGGAGGCGTTTCCTGCTCCCGCGTCTGCCTGAAAGATAAAACACAGCATAAAGCACCGCATCATCAGGAGAAATCAAAGCAGTTGCTTTTTTAATGTGATTTCCTTGCATATACATATATGTCTACACACACGCATATATTTTATATATATAATTACTTTTTGCTTAGGAACATGACGATGTGCATTAAAAATTCTGAACGACAAAAAATCAACCCCTGCTTTCATTTCTTTTCAAGATAATTCATCAGGAGGGTGATCTTATAAACAAGTCATTTTATGAATCAGATGTGTTTTAATTTGAATTATGCAGCCTTTTGATTCGTGACATTCTCTTCCCGTCTATGCAAATCTTTTCAACTTTCATCAGAGTTTTGCTTCCTGCAGGGCCAAACTCATCTAAGCCTCTGCATCCTTTTCTAGGCCAGAATCTGACTCATACGACTGTAAAGCCTGTGTGGACAAGGCTGCTGAAGGGAAGCTGCACGAGATTCTCCCTCGCATGCTTCAGTTCCTCTCAGCAAACACAAGAAACTCGGAATCTCTGCCAAGTAAGGAAATGCTAGAAGCCTCTTTGTGCCGGTCTTTGTCTTTGGCTCTCACTGTCTGCTCATCCGTCTGGGAGAAGAATATTATCTCTCCACTTTCACTCACTTTCTTTGTTTTTCTCCCAAACCGCACATTTATTGACGCACCTGACAACAGCCTGTGCTATAACTCCTCTGCTTGCACAATCCACACATGCACATACTTGTGAATGCTAACACTTTCTGCTCTGCCTTGCCTTGTTGTTTTTTTCCCGTCTTGTCTCCTCAGACTTAAGGGCAGAGTGTCACATTATCCCCACTCCACCCTTTCTATTTTCTTGAAAATCTAAAGCGGTGACAACAGAAAATGACCTGTCCTCCTTCTCTTTTACATTTCAGGGAAGCAGCCATTTACCCATAAATCAATTGCTGCCATTGTAATCCTTTCTTTCCAACCCAGAGGAGGGAGGGGAGTAATGGTGTTTTCATTTTCAGGGTGCAGGGTGGGGGATAAAAGATACCGTGTAAGTGGAGAGGGAGCTGAATAAACAGCAGCAAGAGTCTTGGATTTTAAAGGTGACCCCGTGAGTCATCGCACTGAAAGCCGCTGTGATTTCAATGTGACATCAATTAAATAGTTTGCAATTGAGGCGGACTTAAATGACTTGAATGCACTTATAATTACCAAAGGGAATAATATTATTACCTTTTTTTCTGGCATTAGACAATTGCTTTTCCAAAAGTATTCATTTTTAATTATACTTAAGTGTATATTCTGGTTGTTTCTGTGTTCGGATGGGTATCCATACACTTACACTACTGTAAAAGAGATTTTTAATCTCAACAGTTTTACTTTTTTCCTGGCTAAATATGGATTAAATAAAATCATAGATAATCAGGTTTGTGGACACAGCTTGGGAATCCAGAAAACTGCGCTTCCGAGATGTAAATGATAAGTTTTACTACAGTAAGTTGCTCTGCTCTATCGGCAGTCAGCAAGGGAGCCTTTTGTCTTCTGTCAGTAGCCGTGCAGATATATTTTGCTCCAAGCTTTTTAAGCATGCATAATATTTCTGCTTCTGGTTTCATTTTCCGCCATGTGTAAAAAAACGATTGTGATATAAACCCGACTGTTGGGTATTACTTCATCGCCGAGTTGCAAAACCATTTCTGATAAAAGGCTATGGTAGGTGTGTGATGGAAAACCTATAACACAGGGCACAAATACACCGATACAGATCTGCATACGCAAACAGTATTCAAAATCTCAAACAAATTTCCTCTCACACTTGTGTAGACCCTTTATCAGTGAGTGTCCTTGATAATAAAAAAGGCTTTTTATCTGAAGCCTTGTGTGATTAGGCTACAGCAGACCTACTGTATGCAGTTCAGCAGAATGTGTGAGCATGATGAAGCTGAACTGCTTGCCTATGTGGACTCAGTTTGTGCTGACTCAACCGTTTTAATGCTCTTTCATGAGCTTAGGCCTGCACAGTGGAGGGTTATATTAGAGGAAGATGGGAGGGGGAGGGGTGAGAAGAACAGCTGTGTCCCAGACTCTTTTTACACACACACACACACACACACA